CAAACTTTGTCTGAGGTGGGAAGGACATCAACTTGAGATCTGTTGTAATTTCTCAAAACGTTCACATGATATATCTGCATATGAAATGTGTATATATTTTCTTACTGATTTATTTATTACTCAAAGATCAATGGCATAATACTAATTTAAAAACTTACCAACAAGTAAAACAAACAAGATAGAAATGTACAAAACAATCAAGTAAAACATGTTTAATATTAAAACATTTACTTTTGAGTGAAATAAAAAAGAATATCAATAATTCTATTCTGTCGAATATTAGAATCAAAAGTCAACATAACGCTTGGGATTGGTGATTTTTTACCTTCTCCAAATATATCAATATTTTTAACCACCTTTTCGATATGGGCTCGATTCACTACATAACATAGGACGGGTGCAAAACTAATTTAAAATAAAAAAGGAAATACATCTGGAAACTATGCTGCAATAAAAAGTTGGCAAAAGATTGACAAATATGAGTACCGTAAAAATATTCTAAAATGTTGAGCATGCTCAATATACCCAATGACTGTGGACTAGCATTGACACCAAATACAGCAATATTTATGTTGACTATCAACGTAGACGACGTTTATATTTCCAATAATAGGGACACCTGAAAGTACAAGGCAAGTATGTTTGATAGATTCTGCAATTTTGCAATATACAGTGTTGAACAGCAATTTTCTACCAGAACTTGTTATGATCTTCATGATATATTCTAATATACGAAATGTTCTATTATCACCGATAATCAATCAATCGTATTAATGGGTTTTAAATGAATGATTATTAAGTGCAATATAATATAACAGCACTATCCTACACTTTAAACTTTATAATTTAAGCATTTTTGACATGCGCATTTGACATAGCATTTTGGTAACCAACTGTGTTTTCCTTTCACAAAACCCATTCATGAATGTTTAATGTTGTTATCGCACCCAAATGACGTTCGACTATAGTCGACGTACAGTAAACCAATTTCTGTCAAAAATTAACGATAGAATTGTAGCACAATATTTTACTCATCCTAGGTAAGATGTAATATGTAGTTTCATAAGTCCGCATATCTTTTTTTAGACTACATGTATCTGTATGAATGCAGGCTGAGCTAAAAAATATTAAATTATTCGTTTCTGAAATTTAGATAATATTGAATTTCTAAAATACTTGGCTTTTCATATTTGTTTTAGTAGTGACAGTTCCAATCTTCGCGTCTTGTCATTGTTCTATTATGTACATGCCTATAGTATAATAAGAGATTCATACCACTTTGTCTACGTGTTGTAAACTTATCTTCCGTTCGATAACATCGCCATGTTGTTGCTCGGACAACACTTCCACACGTATTGGACCGTACTGAATGTGTCCGTCGTCTGGCCAGTATTGTCCGTCTTGCTGAAGGGGCAAACGTATAGGCGAAACATTACATTCGTGTATACTCGCCTCATTGTTTATTGTTAAACCACTACAATGCTGTCAAATATATAAATGCGTTGCATACTGTGGTTGTGACGCGATATGCATTATAATGTAGTTT